TGATTAAGATTAAGAGAATTTGAAGTAACATATAAAGAGACTAGGAAGAGAGAGAGAGAGAGGTTTCCTGGAGAGGGATTTGAAGCTGAAACTACCCATTCACAGACAATTGCAGAGAGGAAAATTATAGTGTTAAGGCATATGCTATAATATAAAGGAAGTTAGGTGTAGAAATCCATATTGAATCAATCCAACTTCAGAAGCAACTTCCCATTTTGCCCTTTCCAATTTGGTAAAAATTGAATCAATCTTGACTTTTTAGGTTGACTAACGGTCAACTGGACGGTTTCCATCCAAATGGACCTCCGGTGCTTATTTTTGAAAGGGTTTGGGACCTCCATTGGCACAAATCAAAGGTTAGGGTAAAGTGCGCAAAAATCTGAAAGGTTTGGGACCTTTGCTGCAATTATCCCTAAAAAGATTGTGTTATAAGTTTGTTCCTCTTATATCAACAGAAAAAGTACTGTACAATGGGTCACAAAAATGTACAGATTCCCTCGAGGAATATCACAGTAATGATCTGAAACTGTAAATTTCATGCAAAAGACTTGCAAAAGTTTCAAGAAGGTCTACTATGTTGTATTGGAAATTAGCCGGACCTCGTATAAATCTTTTTCTCCCTTCACTGCACCCACAAAAGTCACTGATTAGTTTGAAGAGTTCCAACTCAAAATCCATTCTCTTAATGACTTCTCTTCGAGTTTTGAAATAGTTTATATACAACGTATAATCTTGCAATTTGAGGTTTTAGAACTTACAAACTTCGGCTGTGATCCCTGGTCCAAAGAAAGAAGTAAATTTGGCCTAGAAATCCAAAAAAAAAAAAAAATGGGAAAGAAAAAGTGAGCTTTTTTGATAACAAAAGCAACCTTAATGGATTACAAAGACTTAAGGTACAATAGTCGGTAGATCTTCTCACCTGTCTTTGTTCAAAATCTGACAACTGCAGGGCTTTTGCCTCAAACACCAAAACTAAACAGTATTTACCATCCTCGGTAACCTCAAAGAGAAGCAGATTCATAAGATTAGAAAGAACAAAGGAAACAGCTAATGGAATTGACGGAGCACAAATCAGGTAAAATCATTTCTTAGTCAAAGCTATTCATATAAAAATAATAGGGATCCCAAAAAATTTGGAGTCAACATTTTCTAACACTCTGTTCAGTTCATTTCAAGATCTATGAAATCTAAAGCAACTAAGTTCTAGCAACTTCGGTCCACTCCTCTCTTTTCTAACATGTTACTGTCACTCTTATGAACGAGAGCATCTTTTGGCCTACACATTCATATGAAGTAATAAAACGATCAAAATGCTACTACCCATTCTATAGCTCAAGCCTCAAAGCTCAAAGAAGAGTAAAAATAGTGATGAAATGCTCGGAAAACAAAGAGAATTTAAGTGGCGTACTTCTTCACGAATCATTTGCAGAATTGGTGCACTCCTTCGTGAAATTCCACCACCCTGATTGAAAAGCCAAAAAAAAACTCTTGTATTAACAATCTTCTGATATACTTCTGCAGTTCTGCTATAAATTAAATGCATGCAATTTTGTCGATATGTAGAATTTAGTTTGCACTCCTGGTGAAGGTAAGTCCCGTGAACAACTGGGCGTTAAAGCAACGTTAAGAAACAAACAATATTAACATCATATTTGAGCATTTATGAAATCAGAAGTTTTTCTAGCTTTGTAAGTTGTAGTGTATTGGTTGGGCTGTGTTAATAAAATAAAAAGATCCTCGATCCAACCCCAAAAGTCTCTGTTTCTCGCTACAAAAAAAAAAACAGGGAAAATAAATGACAGGAAATGACATTAGTTTGAACGAGAAAAGCAAAGGAATTAACTACCATTCCATATTGGAAGATACGCTTTAAAGCTTCATCCAGATGCTGCTCGTCCCCATAACGGTATCTTGTAACATCATTTCTTACCTAAAAAAATATGATAAAATGTCAATTCTCACGCAAATGAGGCAACAAACTAGGCGACGCATGAGATTAACAGCAGTCCACCTTAATATTAATTATTTATTTGAACAGATTGCCCCTTCATAATTCAAACTCGAAATACAGTTTCTCATTATATAGAAAGGAGTACAGGGAGAGGAATGGAAAGATCATGACCAGCAAAAACAAACACTCTCTCTAGGGGTCTTCAATAAAAAATTAGTAGCAAAATAAGAGATCAGATCGTCTTGCTCAGCCTGAGAATCGTATAACAAAAAAAATGAACTTTACCTGCTTAAGAATTGGAGTTGCACATTTTTCCCTCAGCATCTGAGCATCAGAATATGTTAAGCAGGGAACGGGTTTAAGTTCCGCATACTGCAAAACAAGAACACACATAATGAATCGACCAATGATACAAATCAATCAAATTTAATTTTTTAAGATCAGCAAATGGAATCACTAGAGGTGTATGCCTTCTCACACGTCACCTACTGATTAAAATGTAAAAGCAGTACAAATGATGACAAAGTATGTAGTAGTGAATAACCTGGCTTTAGAAAACAGTAGGAATCAAATAATCTAAAATGAAGAATTACATCAAAATTGAAAGAAAATCGGATTAACCTTGAGAGCCATGCCAATGATTGCCAGAGGAAAGCCGTATGTCAGCATCAGTGCAGACCATTCAGATCCCGGGAGAATATTAAAGTACGCACCAAAACCATAACTGTATTGAGCACAGAAGCCTATGTCATAATTTATGATACCTTTCATGTCTTATATGCTTCTGGAAATTAAGGGCAAAGAGTCGAAATGGCCAAACTTCAAAGTTTTTCTTTAATATAATGTTGGACAACCACGAGGAAAAGAATGCATAATGAAGAATTGCAGGAAAATACCAATTAATGGTCTGATTTCTAGGATATGACAAGAAATTCCACAGATACACAATTTATATATGGAAGCCACTATGAAACTACAAATAAAATCAAAAAGTACTACTTGACTTTTCCCATATAATTTTCTACCAAGCAACCACCAGCCAGAGCAACAACCTAGTATTGGTCTGGTTGTGTCAAGGTCATGCATGATAACATAAGGGTAATGAGCGTGAGTTAATGGGACCAAACTTGGTGGCTGGTCAAGCAGCACAATGTGGTCAATGCAGATGAGTAGTTGTGGTGTAACATTGAACTTGGTAGTACTAATGATCGTGATTGGGTCATTAGTTGCTGGGGTCAACTGATGCCCGCACTAATACTAACATGAAGAGGCATCATGAGGTGGATTGGTTCGTCTTCTCTATCTTTTTGGGGACGATTCATCTATTTTTTCAATTTATCAATTAAGGAAATGTAGAGGACGTATAATTTTTTAAGGAAATAACAGTTGTTCCATCTCAATAATGTCCCAACGGGATGTAGGTGTAGTTTCTTCCAACTGTGATGGTTGTCTAACAAGATCAAAGTGTTTTCCTGCATAAACAATGGAATGTACTCACGAGAGAAGTGAAACTCCAAGGCCTAATCCAATGACACCAAAAGAGACCTGAATATAACAGTCAAAAGTTAGTCATTCTAAAGGAAAACTGTTTAAGATTTGAGTAAAAATAAGGACCACATCATGACAAAGAGATCAACTTTTTTATTCATTAAAATCATGCAAGTTTATCACAAAACAAGAGGAAACCAGAACTAATTTGGTTTCCATGTATTTGATTCTCATTTTAGTTATACTATTGGCCGGATGGATTGGTTGCTCAATGGAGGCACGTCGCACTTAAAGATGGTATTGTAGTTTTAACTTGACAAGAGGTTAATAAAGGTACGCAGAAAGAAGTCCATTGATAACACATAAATGTCCACAAAATCATGCAGGTCTCAGATTATGTGCATGTTTATGCCCTTTTCCCATTTTTTTTTGACTACTCTTTGAATGATAAAACTATACTTTTAAAATTTCTACTTTTAGACAAAATAGAAGTTCTGAATGGTTCATTCTTAATGAATATATTAAAGATTTTATTCTTGTTATTTTGCATGCAAAATCTATTCTCACTATTGTCCTAATCCTCCCTACTCTAGAGGAACTGGACAAGAATTAACAAAAAACTAAAATAACAGCAGAAAAATGAACAATCCATATTTAATGGTCCATCTGTCAAATAGCAAGGACATAAATCACTTCGGNCCCCCCCCCCCCCCCCCCCCCCCCCCCCCCCCCCCCCCCCCCCTTTCTCTTCTCCTTCCTCAGACAGACAAATCCCTTACACTTGTCCCTCTAATTCAATCCCATTCTCATATCAAGATACGGTATTAAGTTTAACCGGTGAATAAATTACATAAACAACAGTGCACATTCATGACACACACGATAGCATTCGTTTAAACAGCTTTACATATATATAATGCCAGAACTATAACATACAAAGATACGAAAAATGATTCAAGTTACAAGACAATTCACAGATATATTACTTCATCAGTTTCAATATTGCAGTTGCATTGCTACTGTAACAATCAAAATGACTTTTTTGAAGCAAATGTTCTTATTGGAGATGCGCAAATAAAAGTCCATGTTTATTAGAGGTGGTGTTTGTTTAGAAATTATAAGGAGATTCAGCTATCCAACCTAATAGGTTAACCTTTCGAAACAGCACCCTAAGTCTTAACAATTTAGAACCATCCCAAACTTAACCACGTTAATGCACAAGACAAATCCCCCCGGACATGTGTGTGAGCCTCAATGAATAGCTACGGGGTGAGTTTCTATAACGGTGAACTCTCCAGATTATGGAGCCTCCATGGTAACGCAATATTGCTGAAATATGATCTTTTTGATAGGAGGTACGGTATGGTGATTTTTTTACCTTTCTTACTTTAGCTAATTGGTTAACTTTTTGGGATCGAACCCAAGTTGCAACCATTCTTGACAAATCAAATTGACTTTTTCTAAGCCTAATATGGTGACACTTGAAGAATATAAACCATATGATAATGCTAATATTTTAAAGTTCTATAATTAAAAAAAAAAAAATCGCTTAATTTATTACATAGATTATGACACGCTCTCCATTTACTCCCTTCATAATATCATAATAAAGAAATAAAAACTATCCAAATATAACAAGATCAGGAACAAGAAAGTACCTTGGCTAGCGAAAACTCTTCATCGGGGACAATGGATTTGTCGGCGGTTCCTGCTGTGGCGGAGGGTGGTGACTGAGTTGACTCGGCGGCTCTGAGCAAGAACCCGAGTCTTGGATTATGATGGGTTTTGGCAAGAAATGAGCGTTGATTGGTGAAGGCACTCGAGAAGTTGTGTTGGATGGCACATGTATTTGCTAATTGTGGCTTTAATGAAACAAGGCAGCTGCAACTAGGTAAATTAAAACGCCGCAAGCAGAGGAGTATTCCTCCGCCACCACAGCCCATCAACGCCGCTTCTTTCACAGGCATTTTTGTGTGTGTGTGCAGGTAGAGGAGAAAGAAGACGTGGCGTAGGGAGGTGGGATGGAGAATATAATTGTGGACACTGTCAACCGCCAAATCTTGGACGATGATGACGTGGTCGCGTGTTATCTTCTATTTTTAATGAAAAACGAGATAATATCCATAATGAAAAATAAAAAAATTACAGAAAACACTTTTCCTAATTGAGTCTCACTCACATTAAAATTTTCATTCTCGTTCTTCTAATAATTTTCAACTACATATTTTTTAATAAAATAACATTTTTCATCACATCAATAATTTTTCCTTCTTTTTCAACCACGCATTTTACATCAATCTACTATTCAAAAATACATTCTTCCAAAATAATGTGGTTCAAACACACCCTGATACAGCTAACGTGTTTTTGAACATATTGTAAATTGTACCCCCTAAAACTTACTTGAAATCCCGAAAACAAAATTAAGTCACTTATTTTTGATTTGCTTGTTTTTCACACTATCTTGTACTCATTTTTTAATCAAAATCTCAATCATAAAAGGACTTTGATAGCCACGATTCAAATACCAATTTAGAGATGTAGATCTTCCCAAATCAAGCCACACATCTTACCTATTTTTCTCTCTAGATTGAAAACCGAATTTGCATTATTTTCATATGATTATTGATGTAGTAAAAGTTGCATAGAGGTTGTAGATTTTAATTAACACGTCATCAAACTAACCAAGATTCTTAATAAATTAATTCTCTATCATATATTATATGTAGTTATTAAATCCAACTGGAACATCCAGATGAGGAGTTGGGCTATCGTCCATTGGGTTGCTTGTTCAACCATTAATCCAGTTGTACATCAATTATGATTTTATATAAGAAGAAATTACACCCACACCTGTTATTAGATATCCATTTTCATAATTCCTGATTTAAGTTTGATATTTCACTAATCAGGATTTAAAGGAATTAAAAAAAAAAATTTATTTTCATTTAAAAATCTATTTAAAATAAATTCATTTA